TGGGTGTGGGTGTGGTGTGTGTGCATGTGCCCAAAATCCTGAGAAGAGAAGGGATTGTGACATGGCCATTTCCCGGGGTAGTGATTTCTCACTTTCTCTCTGTCTCTCTCTCTGGTAAGCCATGGCAAAAACCTTTAAAAAACAAACAAAACACAAAACATTCTATAACAAATATGATTTTATTTGTCCAAACTAGATTGTTACTTCATGTTTTTTATTAAGGGAAAGTATTCACTTGTATAAGTCATGATTTACTTTTTCATGATTCACTTTTTCTTTTTTTTTTTTTTTTGAGAGAGAGATTTTTTTGCGTGTGCACTCACCAGTGAGACAGAGAGACAGAAAGTGAGAAATCACCCCCTGGGGAATGGCCACACTGCAATCACTTCTCATCTATACTCCTCTTGGGATTTTGGGCATGCACGCACATGTGCCCAGAGTGAGTTTTGTTTTTGTTTTTTGTTTTTTTTCCCCAGAGTGAGTTTTAAGCCACCAGTCTGGGACTCCAACCACGATCCACTACCTGGGAGTCCAACAATGTAACCATTCCACCCTCTGTTGGTCCCAATGATATATTTTTTCTATGCAAAAATATGTTATGACTCTTCCAACAACCCAATACTATAAATACTCTATGATATATATTGATATGATATATATGTGTGTGTGTATCATATCATGAATATCTAACTCCCTGCCAGTGGAAAGAAAGCATTAAAATTATGAACTATTTATGCTCCTTGATCTATATATAGTAGTAGGGACAGAATATTCTCAGTGAAATGACTGTAAAAAATGTCACTGTCTAACTTAAAAGAAGTAAAAGCAAAATATAAATACCGCACTTGTACAGATTTTCACAGTAATTTTTAGGTTATCAAGGAAACATCTAGAGTGTTGATCTGGTTATACTCAATTCAAACAAACTACTTGTCACATTAACTACCTCCAGGAAGTTACTCCAAACACAAAATAAACTGTTTATGCCCCTACTCAGATAGATAACATGACAGATTGTTATTAGTTGAAGACAGATGAAATACATTAATTTGATTGGGAGCATGTGTTTAATTTTACCCTGCCATGTACACTCTCTACTTCTGTCTTTCTATGATGACATAGTAAATCATGCCATATTAGAAGGATAGCTAATGCAAGAAAATACAAAATTACCAGTACTTGACTCTGACTCTGTAGATTCTTAAACCAACCTTCTAACAAAATATAACTGCCTGAAAATCACTGGGTGTCACAGAAGAAACTATTTTCTAGTATAAGACTTCAGTACAGCTTTATATTCTTCTTATATAGTAGTAGTTGTTATTTCCCTTTGTGAACTGTCTCTTCCTTCCTTTTCACTTGGTCTTAGGAGTTTATCTTATAAATCTGTATAAGCACTTTCTATTGCAAGGACACCTGTTATATTTGTTCCACATATTTCCTACAGGTTAAGAATTTTCATTTTATTCAATAAATGTTTCATCGGGCTATTGAGAAACAGAAATTAAGATTTTTATAAAGTCAAATACTCTTAGATGATAAATTCATTATTGTTTAAGCTCTTATTTAGTTATTTTGTTTTATGTAGCTAAAACAGAAACAAATTAACAAAAAGCACATAATACCATAGCCACTCAAAAAGTATTTACTGAATGAAAAGAAAACACTTACAGGCTTTAAAAATAAATAGGGAATATCAATTGTGTCTGAAATAGTGTTTATTTCTTCATTTTACAGGAATACTACACAGGATTGCAAATCAACAAACGAGTTTCACATGACAATAGGAATGAAAATCACAAACATGGTAACACATGCAAAATACAAAGGAATACACACCAAGGAAAATGACTGTATATAAATGAACTTTTTAAAGGCAAAATTAAGTATTATTTTGTAAAGCATATATAGATAATAAAACTAAAAAGAAAAGCAAGGAGAACATGGAGGGAAAGCATAGTAGTTACCTCTGAGAGTAGACAGGGATGGCTGAAAACTCCTGGTAGGCTTCTAGGGTGCTGGCAATCCTCTAGTTCCCGACCTGGGAATAATTATTCTTTAAACTAGACACATATTTTACATATGCTTCTGTATGTGTATCTCATTACTGAAAATTCTTACCACAATTATAATACTAACTCTTAATGTTTCTTATAAGGAAAGGTCAGTGTTGCAAAAATATTCCTGGTTTTCATCATTTTTCCCAAGAACTTCCTTTTATCCTTTAATCATCAAATTATAGTCCTTGGATGATCTATCATACATGTCACAAACCCTGTGTATTTTCTCTTCAATTATTTATTGCCTGACTACAAGATTCTCGTTTCTCATTTGTTAACTTCTTGCAATTCACCAACATTTTGTTAGATTCTTCACACTGCTGCACATTTGCCTCATCAGTTTGCATTGTGTTTGCATCGTACAGTCATATATGTATCCACAAACCTCCCATAAGTATTCACCAAAACAACACCAATACCAGCCAGTATCAAGAAGTCAAGAAAGAGTATGTAAAAACTCATATTATTTCCTCAATTTATTTAGTATCATTAATTAGATTACCTAAATCTATTTTTGTGACTATCTATAACTTTTGTAGCTTTCTTTTTTAAAAAAAAAATTATTTTATTTTTAACTTACTTTCTCTCTCTCTCTCTCTCTCTCTCTCTCTCTCTCTCTCTTTTCTTTTTTAAAAAAAAAATTATTTTATTTTTAACTTACTTTCTCTCTCTCTCTCTCTCTCTCTCTCTCTCTCTCTCTCTCTCTCTCTTTGTAATATGACCAGAGAGGGATAGAGAAAGTGAAAAAGGGCAAGCTGCCAGGTCCAGGACTCAAACCATAGTCGGCCATGTGGGAGTCCAGTGCCCTTAACCACCATGCCACCTGCTGGCCCACTTTTGTTGTTTGCAATAACATCTGTGCTTAAGTCATCACAAAGATTAGCACTTGCTCATACACCAAAAGCCTGAAAGAACTGGAAAAATTAATAAACTGCTATTCCTCACTTGACTTAATGTTTTGGGCATTTCCATAAAAATAATTATTAAACAACTGTATATTGGCACAGTATTGATAGATTTACTTGCAAGTTATATATAATATTTGTAGATATAATAAGGGTCAAATTCACTTATTAACACTTATACATAGACCTGCATGGGGGGAAAAAAACAAATTTGTCCTACCTAGACACTAGCGTACCCTATTATCTCAAAGAACAAAAGCCATAGTAAAAACTGCCTTGATCAGGCAATTATATTTTGGCTATGTAATTCTTCTTTATATTTTCTACTTTCTAATCACTAATAAAGACCTAGTAGGAGAGGTGAAGTGATAGAATGAGATTTAAAATAATAACAAAAACAGTTCACAGTAAACAGGAAACTGTCCCCAAAGCAACAGAATTCAGAGTAATAAAAATAACACAAGATGATCCTTTCGTGGTTCATAAGTGTGATGATTGGGTGTTCACGCCTGTGTGTGACATGTGCCTCCCTCCTGTTACAATGCTAGCACAGCAGGCGTCTGATGTGAGAAAAAAAAAACATGCATAGTACCACACAGTTTGTTCTGATGCTAGCAGACACACGCATGTGTGGGGGAGAGAATCAGATAGAGAGGAAGCACCAGCCCCCAAAGGTGCCTGGCCACACAGCATCCTTTCTCTTCCGACTCTCCGCATCGTCAGGATCCTGGACCCATGTGGAAGTGCCTGGCATGAAGCCAAAGGAGGTGGCACTTGAACTTGGGTTTAGGCGTTCTCCAAACAGTATCTATTGGGCCACAGGGTTGGCCCAGTACCACGCTGTTTCATAGGCATTTTATATATATGGAGTCTTAAATCTTCACAACAGCCGTCATTCGACAGATGACAGAAATGAGGTATAAAAGACTAACGAAAAGTCACACATCTAGTGTGCAGTGGACCCAGAACTCAACTTCCAGGCAGCCTAGCTCGAGTCTGCATCCCCTACTACCACCCTGCTTCGTCTTCACATATGTAGTCATCTGAGGCGGGCATTTTCACACAGTACTGCGGAACCAATGAGGTATGGTTCATTCATTTTCACTGCCATATAGCATAGTTTCGCAAAAATCTACCACAATCTCTTCACTGACTGATAACACCTAGGTTGTTTTCAACTATTAGCTACTATAAACAATAAAGCCATGAATATATAGTACATGTCAAGGATAACATGTGTGGCAGTCACTCCTAAAGATATATAACAGAACAGAACTATACAATCAGCCTATGAATATTCAACTTAACAAAATAATGCCCAATTGTTTCCAAAGCAGTTGTACAAATTTAAACGCCAGCTAATAGTGTTTACAAGACTACAGACTCCATTACAGCTCTCACTTGCCATCTTTAGGCTTCCTAGTGTGCCAGTCTAGTAGGCATCATCTCCACTGAGGTCTTATTTTGCATTTCCTTGATTAACGATGAGATTACTTATTTTCATGTGTCTTTGGACCATTTCCTCTTTCATGAAATTCCTATTTGCTTTTGCCCATTTTCTAACGAACTGACATTTTGTAGATTTATAAAAGTATACTAATCTTTTCTCAGTAATTGTTACACATATCTTCTCTCAATTTGTGGCATGCTTATTAAATTCTTTGTGTCACTTCATAGGAACTAGATGTTTATCTTATATAGTTTCTACATTCAATATTTAAATTTTTAATTACATCTTATTTTTAAAATCCTATAAATAAATAAAGTAGCAGATACAAAACCAACACAGAAAAGTCTACAGCATTTTTATACACCAACAATACATGGATGGGTAGAATTGAAGAAAGCAATCCAATTTATGATAGCCACCAAAGAAAAAAAAAAGATACCTAGGAATAAACCTAACCAAGAAGTAGGAAAAAATCTCTACAATGAAAATTATGAAAAACTTTAAAAAAAAGAAAGAAAGAAAATGATACACAAAAGTGGAAAGACATCCCTGTTCCTGAATTGAAAGAATATAAACAAAATGTTAATTCTATCCAAATTAATTTACAAACTCAATGCACTTCCACTCAATGCACGTCCAATCAGAGATAGTCTTTACAGAAATAGAAAAAGCATTCAAAAAATGTTCTGGAATCATAAAAGGCCCTGCATCACCAAAGCAATACTGTGCCCAAAGAATAAAGAGAAAGGTATTTCACTTCCTGACCCCAAAATATATTACAAAGCTATGATAATTAAAACAAGCATGGTACTGACTCAAAAACAGGGATGTAGACCAAGGGAACAAAACAGAGAACCCAGAAATAAACCCCAAAATATACAGTCAACTGATTTTTTACAAAGTGCACAAGTTAATCCAAAGGAGGAAAGAAAATTTCTCTAACAAATGGTGCTGGAAAAACTGGGTATCCACCTGGAAGAAAATGAAACTGAACCCCTATCTATCACCATTTAAAAAAAAAAACTCAAAGTGGATTAAAGATTTAAACATTAAACCTCAAACTAGGGGCCAGCAGGTGGCATGGTGGTTAAGGTGCAGGACTCCCACATGGCCAACCACGGTTTGAGTAGCAGACCTGGCAGCTTGTTTTCTCTTTGTTTTTGTTTTCCCTCTCTCTGTCTCTCTCTGTTGAGTGTACATGCACATGCCCTATGGCAAATTTGAAAATAACAATAATAAGGGGCCTGCAGATGGTGTGGTGATTAAAGGTGCTGGACTCTCACATGGCCAACCATGTTTCAAGTCCTGGACCTGATGCCTTCCTTTCTCACTTTCCCTCTTTCTCTCTGTCTCTGGTCAAATAGGAAAATAATAATAATAATAATAAATAAAGTTAAAAATAAAATCATTCTTTTTAAAATATATAAAATAGTAATAAAAAAATTAAATAATTTTTTTTTTATTTTAATACCTTAAACTCTAAAACTACTTGTGGAAAACATGGCAGAAACTCTTAGAGACATTGGAGTAGGCAAAAACTTCTTAAATAAGACCCTCGAAGCACAGGTAATCATCCTGAAAATAGACAAGTGGGGTTATATCAAGCTAACTGTCAGTGGGTACATGTATTCATCAAAGAGAGAGAGGGTAAGAAAGCACTTTGGGATTTTGGGCATGTGTGCACATGTGCCCACTGTGTTTTTCAGGCCACTGGGTCTGAGACTCAAACTACACAGTCAGCCACATGGGATCCAGCCACCTCAATCACCACACCTCAAATTGTCTGCTTTCTATGAAAAACTAAAGCTTCACTCCAAATGCCAATGGTTTATAATAATAACAACTATTTAATTTAGGGAAAATTTTTTTCCAAACAAAATCTTGGTTTTCTCTCTCCCTTTCCCTTCATTCCTCCTTCCCTCTCTCTCAAGCATATGGTGCCCTGTAGCAAATTTAATAATAATAAATATTTTTAATGGGCAAATGAGCTGAACAGACAACTCTCTGAGGAAGACATATCAATGGCCAAAAAGCATGTGAAAAAATGCTCAGCATCCCTTATCATAAGAAAATACAAATCAAAACCACAGTGAGATACCACTTACCACAAGATTCAAAAACATAAAATGGCAAGCATTGGGAACCAGCAGTTAGCGTAATGGCTATGTCGCTGGACTCCCACGTAGTTGACCGCGGTTCGTGTCCCGGACCCGGTGGCTTAAAACTCATGCCAGGCACGTGTGCGTGCGTGCCCAAGATCCCGAGAGGAGAATGGAGGAGAAGGGATTGTGGCGTGACCATCCCCCCTGGGGGGTGATTTCTCGCTTTCTATCTCTATGTCTCTCTCTGTCTGTCTGGCGAGTGCATGCGCCCTATAGTGAAAAACCTCTCAAAGAAAAAAAAAAAAAAAATTAGGGCTAGGGGCTAGCATGGAGGTTAAAATGCTAAATCCCATATGGCTAACTGCACGGTTTGAGTCCCAGACCTAGTGGCTTTAAAAACACTGGGGGTGTGTGTATGCATAATCAAAAACCCTAGCGGGAGAGAAGGGATTGTGGCATGACCATCACACCTGCATGGTGATTTCTCAATTACTCTCTCTCCCCCCTTGGCGAGCACATGTACCCTATAGCAAAAGCTAAAAGAAAAGAAAAAAACAAAGTTGTGCCTTTAATATTGCAGCCTTTAATCCATTTGTCATTGATTATTTTGTGCACGATGTAATATAGGAAACTATTTTCTTTTTTCTTTAAAAATAAGTTGTCTCAAGATCACTTAATAAATATTCTTTTTTTTCATTAAAGATCTTAAATGTCAACTCATTTACAATATAGAAGTTCCATTTATGTGAGGGCTTGCTCCAATATCTCAATTCTGTTACTTAGGTAAATTCCACATTATTTATAACAGATATTTACTGTAAGTCTTGACAGTTTGGTTGAGATACAGTATCCTTTTTAAATATTGCTGGATTCAGGCCAGCAGGTGGCATGGTAGTAAAGGTGCTGGATCCCCCATGGCCGACAGCACAGTTCCAGTCCTGGACCCAGGGATTTGAGAAACACACCAGTGCATGTGCATATATGCACAAAATACCAAGAGGAGTATTGAAAAGAAGGGCTTGTGGCATAGCCATGCCCTATAGGGGTTGATTTCTCACTTTCCCTCCCTCTCTCTCTGGTGAGCACACTTTCCCTTTGGCATGTATGCATGCATGCATGCATGAATAAATAAATAAATTGCTAGATTCAATTTGCTAATATTTTGTTAAGGATTTTTACATCTAGGTGCATGTGGGGTGTTGATCTTTAATTTTCTTCTAGTGCCTTTATCTGATTTTAATATCACATTGATTAACACACAAATGTCGTAAAATGAATTGGGAAGTGATTCTCCATCTCCAGTTTTCTAGAAGTGTTTGCATAAGATTGGTATTATTTTATTGATAAATGTTTGGTTCAATTCACTAGTAAAACTATCTGGATTTGCAGTTCTCTTTGTCAGAACATTTTAAATTATTAATTCAATACTTTCATAAATATAGCAGCATTCAGATTACCTATTTCTTCCTGAGTGAACTGTAAGTTTGTGCTGTTAAAGAAATTAGTTCAAGGAACCAGCAGATGGTGTAATGACTACATCACTGGACTCCCATGTAGTCAACCACGTTTCAAGTCCGGATCTGGTGGCTTAAACCTCATGCTGGGCACGTGTGCATGTGTGCCCAAGATCCAAGGAGGACAACAGAGAAGAAGGTATTGTGACATGGCGATCCCCCCTGGCGGATGACTTCTTGCTTTCTGTCTCTCTGTCTCTCTCTGTCTCACCAGTGAGAGCATGCACCCTATAGCAAAAATCTCTCTTAAAAAAAAAAAGTTCAAAACAATGAAAAATAACAGAATTAGTTCACTTATTCTAAATGGTGAAACGAAGGGAAGTAAAGTTTCTTATATCTTCTTATTCTTCTTTTAATGCCTCACGGATACATAGTGATTTTTCCTTTCATTGTATTAAAAATAATGTATAAAAATGTATAAAATATAATGTAATTTTTATCTTCTCATGTTTCCATAGTTCGGTTAGATGTTAACCAATTTTATTGATCTTTTCAAAGGA